GTCTCTGGTGGATCCAGTTCTGGAGATTCTTTGAGATTCGTTTTCTCCAAGTTTTCAGTTATGCTCTCAACAGAGTTGAGATCATCAAACTTGACATGAATCGATTCTTCAACAAGTAAAGTTCTCTTGTTGAGTATTCTATAGGCTTTGCTGGTGCCAGAGTAGCCTAAGAATGTTCCTTCATCAGCTTTTTCTTGAAACACCTTGAGGTGATCCTTCCCATTGTTGAGTATATAGCATTTGCATCCAAATGCATGAAAGTAGCTGATGTTGGGTTTTCGTCCTTTCCATAATTCATAAGGAGTTTTCTGATGAGTCTTGTGAATCATGCTCCTGTTCTGGGTGTAGCATGCAGTATTGATTGCTTCAGCCCAATATCTGTAGGGTAGACCCGATTCAGCAATCATGGTCCTTGCAGCTTCCTTTAATGTTCTATTTCTTCTTTCTGCAACTCCATTCTGTTGAGGAGTTCTGGCTGCAGAGAGTTGATGCATTGTACCATTCTGGTCACAGAAATCCTGTATGACTTTGTTAATGAACTCTGTTCCTCTGTCTGATCTGATGGCTTTGACTTTCTGATTCTGCTCATTCTGTAATAGCTTTAGCAGAGATGGCAGTTTCTGCAGAGTTTCATTTTTCTTGGTTAGAAAGATAGTCCATGTGAATCTGGAGTAGTCATCCACCATGACTAAGGTGTATCTCTTGCCACCAACACTTGGAGTTTCCACTGGTCCAAATAAATCCATGTGGATTAGATTCAGAGGACCAGTAGATAGGTTTCCAGCAATGGGTTTGAAGGAATTCTTCACTTGTTTTCCTTTCTGACATGCACTGCATAGATTCTCCTTTTTGTATACAAGGTTGGGTAGACCTTCAACAATGTGATCCCTTGCCAGTTTGTTGATTGTTTTGAAATTCAAGTGACTCAGTTTCTTGTGCCATTCCCAACTGAGTTTTGAATCTCCTTTGGCTATCAGGCAAATTCCATCTTTTGCAGTTGACCAATCAACCACATAGATGTTTTTCTTTCTTGTTGCTGTTAGAACCACTTCTTTAGTTGTCTCATGCTTGACAGAACATCCTTCCTTGGAGAATTCAACTGTGTAGCCTTTGTCACAGAATTGGCTAGCACTCAGCAAGTTGAATTTCAATCCCTTGACATAAGAGACATCATCAATGATTATCTGGTTCTTTATCAGCTTCCCTCTTCCTTTTGTCTGGCCATCTTTATCATTACCTCCAAAGGTAACTCTGGGCCCTTTGACTTTCTGGAACTCTGTTAGGCAACTCTTGTCACCTGTCATGTGCCTGGAGCATCCACTATCAATGTACCAATCTTGCTCTGAGATGGCTCCAGCACACAGTTCCTACAAAATTAAAAGGAAGATTTAGGTACCCAAGCAATGTTGGGTCCTAGGGGGTTATGCAGTCTTGGCAGCCGGTACCACTTTGGTCTCATCAAGTGAAACCTTGGTGGGTGGTACCCATTGTCCACCTGGTAGTCATAGTAAACGGAAGTGTGATTCACTTTGGGCAGATGCTTGTGAGGATCATGCTTCCGGTTTACATACTTCTGCATAGCCTTTTTAGTTGGGTAGAAGTCCCATATACTATCAAGATCAGAGGAGCGGTTAACTTTGGGCTTCTTAAGTTGACCAGCCAACCTTTTTTGCCTAAAGTTAATTTTCTCTTGATATCTGCCTTTCTGGTGATCATCTCTGACACGATTATCATGAGTTTGTCTGTTATGGTTCTGTCTTTGATTTTTGGTATTCTGAAAATCTTTCCTGTTGTTAGTTCTTCTGCCAGGTTCATTAACTTTTAAAATGGGTTTCTGTTGAACCTTTATTTTTCCTTTTTCTGGTCTGACATTCTCATGAATAACCTTGGTGCCAGATACACCAGCCTGACAAATGGGGCTAGAAATCAGTGGCACTATGACCTTGTCTGCCTTAGCAACTCTGGTGCTAGGCATTACAGAAGGCTCACCTAATTCTGTTGAGCCATAACCAAGACCAAAACCAGTGCCAATTTGTTGGTCAAGTACAATCTTTTCCATTGAAGACTGGGCCTTCTGGTAAGCTTTGTACTTAATCTCAAGAGGCTCTATCTCTCTTATTCTCTTTAGAAGAGAAACATTTTCAGCTTCCAGCTGATCTCTTTCCTCAATCAGAAGATTGATTTTGATCTCAACCTCCTTTCTTAAGTCAAGGATCTCAACCTTAAGCTTACTGTTTTCTTCTTTAACAGAAGAATAAGTGGTTTGTATGGCTTGAAACTCTTCCCAAAATTCTGACATTGAATCAGAATCAAAGGCTCTGCCTACCGAAGAAAAACTAGAGTTGGAAGTAGAAGATACCTCATCATCAGATTGACCCATAAGACATAGGTCTTCAGTTTCCGTGTCCAGGCAACAGAATGCTTCATCAGATTCTGATTCCGAGCTGGATTCTGTCTCAGAGAGGGGGTCCTTCTCTGGTTGTTCAGTGATGAGTGCTTTCCTTCTTCGGTGCTCGTACTTCTTTTCTCCTTCCTGGCCTTGCCTTTTGGAGACTATGGGGTGTGGACAATTGACTTTGAAGTGCCCTGGTTGTCTGCAGTTGTAGCAGAGAAGCTCTCCACTACTTTCTGATGGTTTGGACTTCTGGTGTGGCTTTCTGCTAGAGTGTGGACTTCTGCTATCCTTTGGCTTCAAGAATTTCCTGAACTTCCTAGCAAAGGCCGCCATATACTCGTCAGTTAAAAGAATAGAAGGGTCAAAGTTATTTACCTGAGAGGTGCTGGCCGTGAGGGCAGTAGTTGTTCTGTCCTCAACTTCTTCTTTCTCTTCTTCATTCATCTCAAACTCATAAGACTTGAGATCAGAGATGAGTTTCTCAGTGCTGTAGGTTCTGAGGTCCTTGCTATCTCTCATGGCAGTGACCTTCATCTTCCATGGTGAAGGTAAACCTCTGAGAACCTTCAGACTGATCTCCTTGGGAGTGAGCTCCTTCCCAAGTTCTGATATCTCAGCAGTGAGGGTGAGCAAGCGTGCATACATCTCAGCTATGCATTCTTTGGGTAGAAGTTTGAAATCTTCAAACTTCTTCATGGAAATAGTAAGTTTGTTGTCCTTTTCTTGCTCATCTCCAGCTCCTATCAGGGTGAGAGTATCCCAGATTTCCTTAGCAGATTTGCACTTCTTGATCCTGGTGAAGTACTTGTCATCAATGGCCTTGTAGAGGATATCCTTGGCAATGTTGTCAAGGTTGTACTTTCTCCTTTCTTCATTAGACCATTCATGGCGCAGTTTGGTGATCATCTGGGGTTGACCACTACCAGTGATGTATTCAGGGTTGACCTTGGTGAACTCTGTGAAAGGTCCTGCATCAATAACTTCCCACATTTCGTCATGGAGTGCGCAGAGGTGAGCTTTCATGCGGATCCTCCAGTCATCAAACTTTGTTACTGAGAACATAAGATTCTTTGAAAGAGTGTTATCCATAATATGAGATTAAAGAGGCTAAAACAAGTGGATCTCTTGTTTAGTAAGTAACCTAAAAGATTACAAGAACAAGGAGGCTCTGATACCACTTGTTGGTCCCGTTAGTAATGGGAACAATCTAGAGGGGGGGGGGTGAATAGACTGTTCAGGAATTTAAAATTTTCTCTAAGTCAAGTTTGACTTATCAGAGATGGTCGAAATCTGGTGACAGAGATGGTCAAGTTCTGATGGCAGAACTAGACCAGGCAGCGGATAAGTTTCTGTCCGGGTAGCCTCTAGAAGAAAGCTAAGGCAAAATGCCTTTCTGATAACTCTGAAGGGAGATCTGCTGGACACAGATTCCAACCTAAAGAGTTAGTCAGTAGAATCTTAAGTGCAGAAAGTAAAAGCTGAAAGTAAATGACACCGGGGTTTTTATAGTGGTTCAAGGAACAACTCGTTCCTCTAGTCCACTGTTCCACTAAGCTTGCAAAAACGACAGTTTACAACGCCTTAGTCCCTAGAACTTAAGAAGCACTCCTCGTCTTCTTCAAGTCTAGTTGCCACCCGGGATGCAGTCCTGCTTCCTGATGGCTGGTCTCGTTTCACTGAGTCTCTTGAAGTATCTCCACTTCACTTACTCCAGCTAATTTGAGACGTCCCTTCTTTTTCAAGAAGTGTTTGATAAAAAATCAGTTTTCTCCAACGTTGCTTCTTCACAAAAGATGAGTATATGAAGCTCTCGAAGTGTTGAAGAACTGAGTAACTTTGCCTTTGCTAGTTGGATGAAGGATAGGAATGTTTATCTTCCAACTGTGGCCTTTTCTTGTTAGAATGGAGTTTTGATCTCAAGAAAGTTGTTCACGCAAATTTATCTTGGCAAAAGTTATGGCAAAGTTCTCTTCTTAGTTCTTCAGAGTGTATCTTATATACTGGGAGCGGTCTTCCCGTTGGAGTGTAGAAGACAGCTTCATTAAATGCATGTACTGTTGACTTGACCGTTTGGTCCTCCGACTTGCTATTTTGGGGGCGTAAAGATATTCGCATGGTCAATCATCAGCTTTAAATATCTCTTCGTACGTACAACATTAAATGTGCGTTTAATGCGTGTACAGTGCCATGCTTCCGTTGAAAGGTTCGTAACCGTTAGGGGATTTCCCGTTAGTTTAACGACCGTTGGAAGGGCTTCCGGATTCTGATGATACTTAGCAGAGTCTGAAGAGGTTCTCTGGTCCAGTCTCTGAAGTCCGTCTCTGGTGCCAACTCTGGTGTATTCCTGATAACCAGTTTCTGATGGCTTCTCTGGTGAGCAACTCTGGGAGCAACTCTGGTAGAGGCAAGATGGAACTCTGGCAGACAGACTAAGCTAAACTTACAAAAGAAATTCTAATACACAATTTCTAATGGGGTACTTTCAAATTCTAATTAACCTAGCATCATCAAAATCTAAATACATTTATTCCTTACAGATAAGAAACAACTGATTAATATTCTGCTTTGCCCCATTTCATGTTGGCATTACAACATTCCAATCCAGGGACGGTCGTGCATTGGTACCCACCTCTTTCAGGTACCAATGAGTTATTAATATCTTTTATCATATCATATTGCATTCCATTTTCAATTCGTCTCTCTAATTTTCTCCGTCTTTCAGGTACCACTGACTTTGTGCAGTTTCAAAGAGTTTTTTTGGGCTTTAAAGCCATCCATTAAAGGCTTTAAGCATTGTCGTCCCTTACTGACCATTGATGGAACAAACTTATATGGGAAGTATAAAGGTACGTTGTTGGTGGCAATGGGTAGTGATGCTAATGATCAACTTTTCCCTTTGGCGTTATCTGTTTGTGAATCAGAGAATGGAGAAAGTTGGTCATGGTTTATGGGGTGCATACGTCATTTCATCACACACATAGAATTGTGTGTTATTTCAGATCGACATGGTGGAATTCTGAAGGCACTTAATGAGGTAGGTAGTGTATGGGAGGAGCCAGATTCACGACATAAGCTTTGCATACGTCATGTCGCTTCTAATCTGCATACTCAATTTAAATACATTCACTTGAAGAATCTGTTCGTTTGGACAGCAAGTCAACGTCAAAAGAAGAAGTTTGATGGTGGATTTAACAGGATAGGCGAAACGCATGCACAAGCACGAGAATATTTAGTGAACATTGGTTTGGAGAAGTGGTCTTTACACCACGATGGGGGGTACAAGTATGGCACCACAACAACGAACATGGCTGAGGTTTTCAATAGCGTCATGAAAAGTGCATGATACCTGCCTATAACCGCCTTAGTTGAGTTATCATTCTATCATGTGAATGCGTATTTTGTGGAAAGAAGAGAAACTAGTTAGAGAATGTTAGCAGAAGGGCATCGCTACTGCCAGCAAGTGATTGAACTGATTGAGAAAAATACGAAAAAGGCAAAGCATCACAAGGTCACAACATTTGACATAAGCCGTGGTTTATATCAAGTGGATACGGGTCGTGGTGGTCGAGCTGTGGGGAAGGGTGGTACAAAACAAACGATAAATTTGCACCGTCACCATTGCACATGTCAGAAGCTGAATATTTATAAGATTCCTTGCTCACATATCTTAGCGGTATGTAGAGAACGTAATTTGTCCTATGATGCTTTTGTTGATATATTTTTCTCATCCTCGGAGTATGCGGCTTCTAATAAAAGAGTATTCAAGCCTATGCCGGATATAGCTTATCGACCTAACTACACTGGACCACGAGTTGTGCATGACCCGTCAATGATTCGCGCTAAAGGCCGTCCGATGGCTAAACGGTTGAGAAATGAAATGGATGAAGGTCCTAAAGGTACTGTGAGATGCGGTTTATGTAAGCAAACAGGGCATAACAGGACGACATGTGCTAAAAGATCACAGAGACACGTAGGGAGTTCCACTGGGTAATGTTGTTTTTTAATTCACATATGCATTAGCAATATTAAAAAATAAATAAAATTAAATTTAATAATAATATAAATTTACTAATACATATATTACTATTACAGCGCCGATGCAGGTGTCAGTGGATCCCGGACCGATTGATCCTTCAGTCCTAACATTGCAGGCCACGCATCGGAGCGAGGATGTGTGGCGTGGCCTGGATGTTCAGGTAGATAGGCGTCGTGAGCACCTACGCACTATATTCCACATGCAGGTTGACCCTAGGATTCTACATTATGTTCGATTAGTTGGGTTTTACGGTGTTGACAGATTAGTTTCGACTCTGCATATAGATAGAGCATTACTTACCGCTCTACTTGGGCGTTGGAGACAGGAGACTCACACTTTCCATTTACTGATGGGTGAGGTCACTATCACATTGGGAGATGTGGTTGTATTGGCAGGTCTACCCATCGAGGGTCGGGCAGTTACTGGGAGTGCGTGTAGAGTGTGGGTTGATTTGGTACACATATTGTTGGGAGTACGGCCACACGCTGGGACACATATTCGGGGGTCCGCTTTGGGGACGGCTTGGTTGAGATAGCATTTTACTGATTTACCTATTGACGTTGATGACGATGTTGTGCAGCAGTACGTTAGAGCCTACATTTTGATGCTTATGGGAGCCTCCACATTTGCGTGCAAGAGCGGTAATGAGGTTCAGGTCTTGTATTTACCCATTCTGGAGTCTTTTGATGTAGTTGCAGTTTATAGCTGGGGTAGTGCGACTTTAGCACACCTATATCGGCAATTATGTCAAGGTTACCATCGTGACGGTGGAGAGTTGGGTGGTTTTTTATTGCTCATACAACTATGGCCATGGGAGCATATTCATATCGACAGACCTGTCATACTGCGATATCATGGGGTAGATGGTAATCCTTTTGATGATGCTATAGATCAACACGATCGATCTGTACTTGGGCCACATCATGTTCGTGGCGAGGACCCTTTGGGTCGTAGGCATGTTTATGATTTTTTTTATATTTATGTATGGCATACGTGAATCCCTTTTATATTCTTGTACATTACTGTGTGTCAGATGGCTATTTGCTCATGTCACACGCACGTCACCCGCTGCTGGATTAGGATACTACCGAGATGCTTTAGATCACATGTGTGATGATCAGGTATATCATTTATATCATTAAATGTAAGTACTTTGTTTTACGTTTTTGTAAACCATGGTCCATGGGGTAACATTATTTTATATTATAGATTACATGGATGCCGTACACTGATGAGATTCTAGGACTGATACCTCCTGTTGCCCGAGAGCACACAGAGATATGGCGAGCATGTGTGCCCTTGATGTGTTTTGATGTAGTGGAGCATCACTTTCCTGATCGCGTACTACGACAGTTCGGGTTGCAACAGGTTACTCCTAGACCTTGTGATACATCTGTGGACTTGCACAAGATTGATAGACGTGGGAAGCACACTGAAAATTGGGGGATGCACCATAATCAGTATATCACTATGTGGGATGAGAGAGCGGCGTATATAGTGGACGGGACCCCATCATTAGTCCCCACAGCTTCTGTAGAGTACATGAGATGGTATTACACCATCACACGGGTGTTCATCTCTCCCAGTTTTCATTTACCCACTAATCATTACCAGCCTCGCTTAGTCGCTCTTCATATGACAGTAAACAATATAGTCAATAAAATAGCTTTATTTATTTATTCATATATTTTTCAGTAATAACCATGTTTGCATTACAGACACGGGTTTTGCGTAGCATCCATGACAGAACGACTGTTGTACTTGATGAGGCGGTAGATATACAGGTATACCATGACGCTTGTTCGGGCATTGTTGCTCTGTACGCTTATGTATTGGGTCGAGTGGATTATGGATATGTGGCCTCCTCTCAGCATTCTAACGCATCTACATCCACAACAGGTTCTTCTCAGACAGTCCGACGTGATAGAGTTGTTCTCCAGCCTCGTAACCAGCGCAGACGCCCCACGAGCACAGCCACAGCCACATGAACTTCATGATGATGATGATACGTTGACTTATGATCTTTTTATTTATATTATTGTGTGAGAGTTATAACATGCACTGGCAGATCGAATCATTTTGTGAAACACCCGATTTATTATAACTTTTATGTCTTATTTCAAGTGTTGTGATGCAATGAGTTTCATTGATTCGTTTTGTGTTTCAGATGTATTTTGTCTTAGTAAATCATATGTTTGGTTGTTTGTTTGAGTAGAATGGATTGTGATGAACAGATTTTCTGCTAACTACAGGTTCATTTGTTTAATTAACAGTTCAACAGCTTGCTTAACACAAGAGCCGCCACTTGGAGTGGCGGCTTTTATACGCTGTATAAAAGCCGCCACTCCAAGTGGCGGCTATTGTGAAGCTATACAAGAACCACCACTTGGAGTGGTGGCTTTCCTTAACCGTGGTTAACTCCAGCAGTATTTTGGGAATTATTCTTAACCCGACAGTATTTCGGGAATATTTTATTTAATTAACATTATTCCGGGAAAAATGATTTTTATTGCGTTAGAATTCCCTTTTATGCGTTGGAGCGGATAATTTGTTTTAAATGTCCTTGCGTCCACCTCAGTCCCACGGACCGTGTGTAGAGGTGACATGTCCATTTTTTATGGGGTGCAATCCACATCCCCACTAAAGATGCTCTAAGTACATATAAGTGTAATACGGAATACTTGTCTTTTATGAAAACAGGGAAATTTATTTTGAGACAATTTATGGGAGAGATAATATATACTCCCTCCGCCCCTTAAAACTTTGCCAAGTTTGAACGGCACGAGAATTAATGAAGTAAAAATTGTGTGATTGAGTTTTGAGCAAAGGAGAGAGAACTAATTGGAATCACAAATTCTTTACTTAAAAGGGATAGTGACAAAATTAGTCGGACATTCAAAAAAGGAAAATTGACAAAGTTTTAAGGGACAGAGGGAGTAATAGGCATGGACCCGGTTCGGTCCCGAACCGGCCGGTCCCGATCCGTGAAAGGTGAAGCCCGAAACCGACCTGGTTTTTACGGATACCCGGGCAGTCTGGTCTAGGTTCCGATCCCGGGTTGGAATTGGTCCCTTTCTATTTTCTTTTTCATTGTCTAGGCTAAAAAAATATTGGTCAGTCCAGGACCGAACCGAGCATGGAACCGCCCGATTCAGGCTTAAATACTGAAATCCAGGATTGGTAACTGCTTGTACCCATGTCGGGTACCCGGTTTTGATCCGGGACCGGAAAACCGATCTAGACCAATCTAACAAAAAACTAAAGGTTGACATTGTTATCACACCTTTTCTCTAGAATTTTTTTCAATGCTGTGTTCTACTTTCTTTCTATTGTGGGTTCGCAGCAATTACCCCAATGCCCCGTTGGATACGCTACGCCTCCGTTAGTTACCGGTTTCAAAGTGCAGAAAACTAGAAGTCATAACTGTCAGGCGCTCAATATTTCTAAACTCCTAATTTGAATTTTTCTTCTTATTTCTCTACTCCCGTTTATATTTTATCCCCTTCACGCCATTCATTGTTTCTGTACAACAATCGTTCTGGGTTATTTTCTGTGTTTCCTCCCTAGATTCCCGTAAACCAACGACCAAAGAATTTAATCTTCTGTTCAAGGTATTTCCGAATCCCCTTCTTCATTCAACAACCATATTTTTCTAGAATTCTAGTATATTTCTAAGTTCTAACTTCAAACCGAGGCGCATATAAGCATATTACTAGTAATGTCATATATATATATTTATGCCAAATAAGTGGTTTACGGATGATCATCATCCTCTGTCTTCACACCTCGTCTTATATTTTTCATGGATCTGTATGTAGGTCTCAGAAATCGAGAACATTTGCCTTGTGAACACAATAGCCTATGTGCACAAAAGCTTGGCCCGAGCAAGCGTCGTTATGGGCAGTTTTCTTAGCATATTTCAGGTCAGTGTGTTTATTTTTAAAAAATAACTAGTACTTTGTTCTTATGTACGGTAAAATAGTTAGTTAACTCTTCGGGCAACCCATTAAGACTGATTGTTTCTTGGTGTCAAACTCGGTATTGAAGTTTGCTTAGAATGATGGGAATCCCATCACTTTACTCAGACCTAACTGCAATTTGAATACATCGCAGTTTGAGTGACTTTAAGTCGAATTTCGGGATAAAATTAAGTCACTCAACAGGGCTCAAATATAAAGATACCAATAAATATATAAAATTATAAACTTTGACTCATCCTATTTTGTTGGTCTTTTTAGATGAAAACTCAATAATCAATTTGTCATTGGAGTCAATTACTAATTTGAAATGAAAAATCTGTACGACTGAGATTAAATTGAAAAGTACACAGATTTCAAGGTTTGTTGCTGTAACTAGTCATGATTTTTTACAAAACCAACATACACAAGGCATTGGGCTACTCTTGTAACCAACATATAATGAAAGCATTTGATCATTTCTCGTATTAGGCTGGCTTTTAAAAATGAAACGTAAGTCCTAAAAGTTAAGCTGTACAAGTGTGTGGGAAGCTTAGAGCCTAGGTGGGTAAGGCATGAACTTTTAAAATATAACTTCTAACTTCTACCATTTTTAACTACATTATGAGGATGGTGTGATTACTATTTATAGTTACAACCACAAACTCGGTTTGAGCATTTTTAAGCGCTCCAAACCCGCCGCTCTCCCAACTCCCAATATAGGCCAAAGCTTCTGAATAGTCGACTTCCAATCTTACTTTTGTTTGGTACAGAAAAAAATACTCCCTATATTTAACCTTTTGCTTTGATGTTGATATAGCACTCCACACCGAACGAGGTTGTGCTTGGATGCCAATATACTATAAGGTCCCATGGTGCAGTGGTTTCAAAGCATCACAAATACGATTGGCTCATACTGATTCTTCTCGTTGTTGTGGATGTTGTTCTTAACCTCATTCATCCATTTTACCGATTTGTTGGGGAGGACATGATGACCGATCTCAAATATCCTTTCAAGGATAACACAGTTCCAATCTGGGCTGTACCTGTGAGTGTCTTAATTTTCAAGATTACACTAGCTATTCAGTTCATTGAGGGTGAAAGTCTAACATTGTTTTGTTTGATGAATAGATATATGCCGGCGTGTTGCCAATTCTTATCTTCACCTTAATCTATCTTCGAAGGAGAGATGTCTATGACCTTCACCACAGCATTCTGGGTAAGTTCTGATTTTCACTTTCATATTATTTGTTTTTGTGAGATCTTCTTGAAGGATTACGGGGTAGTTATAATTCTTGCACTTTGCAAGAGAAATGATGATATAGTGTTCATGATTCTTTGCAGGACTTCTGTTTGCTTTACTGATAACTGCAGTGATCACTGATGCAATTAAGGATGCTGTTGGCCGGCCTCGACCTGACTTTTTTTGGCGTTGTTTTCCAGATGGGCATAGTGTAAGTACAAGTGATTTTATTACTTTTTGGGGTTTCATATAATATTTTACTTAAATATGCAGTAGAACTCATTGGCAAAAGTATGAATATATACTACTACTACTTTACAAGTTATAACACTATGGCCCCTGTGTTTTTGTACAATATTACTAAAATGGAATTTGACATAAATGTGACTATATGGTCACTAGTGAAAACCATCATAATCACTGCAGTTTAAAATTGAACATTAGTAAGATGTACTGCTATAGTACTACTATGCTCCTGTATTCAAAGCCATATTTTTTCCATTATTTTTATTTTAGTCATATACTGCGTATATGTCATTTAATCATTTTATTATTATCTTGGTGTTGATTGTACTTTCAGAAATTTGATAAACTGGGGGATGTGATCTGTCATGGTAAACCAAGTGATATAAAGGAAGGACACAAGAGTTTTCCAAGTGGTCACACTTCATGTAAGCTAACCTTACTTGCAAGATCAAGTGCTTAATAATATTGTTGGAGAGTCCAAAATATACTGACCAAATGGGTTGATAATTCTAGCAACCAGTTCACCTACACAATATGCTAAATAATTTTTTAGTTTGACATATACTGTATTAAGTTTGGTTGTGCTGCAGGGTCTTTTGCAGGGCTGGGATTTGTGTCACTGTATTTAGCAGGAAAACTAAAAGCATTCGACGGGAGAGGTCATGTGGCAAAGCTATGCCTAGTTTTCCTTCCTCTTCTTGCGGCTTCTCTTGTTGCCATATCCCGTGTGGATGACTACTGGCATCATTGGACTGACGTTTTTGTTGGGGGACTCATAGGTTAGCTGCATATACCAAGGTTATTATATAAAGAGAGAAAAAAACAATGGCTTTAATGCCATATTTAATTTTCAGGTCTCGTAGTGTCATCATTCTGCTATCTGCAATTTTTCCCTCCTCCATATCACACCCAAGGTAGGGTCTTCATTTCTTCAATGTCATTATCTTCAAAAACATTTATGTTTCTTAATTTTTGTGTTATTTGAAGCTGTGAATAAACTAGACTAATTATTCATGTACTTTGTCATAAAACAACGCTAACTAGTCACTTGGTCAGATTTGATAACTTTAGTTCAAGTTAACAATAAATTTGAAAGTATGAGATAATTGTTGAAATATGATTCCATAGTAGATAAGTTTGGGCCTAACTCCCCCGAAAAGGTAATATTTGACATAAATCTGGTAAACGTCCAAAATAGTGATTGATCTCTTAGCATATTAAAATTTTGATGGTAATGAAAAGAGTAAGTACATAAAAGAAAAATATATATCATGCAGGGAATCAGGGATATAGGTCATGTAATCCACCTGAAAGTGATCAGCTTATTGTTAAAATAGATATTTATTATAAATGCAAGTATGCAACCAAACAATCTGTTACCAGTTATAGAAAGGTTTAGCTACCTCTGATCCTTTTAACCCCAGAATCACTTAGGGTTGCATAAAATTTCCCCTATATCAGCAATAGGGTTGCATAAAATTTCCCCTATATTTTACCAAATTCATGTTTCTTTTTAAACACTTTCCAAGATAATCATAAGGTTTCAATTTTTTAGCAAGTTCTTTTGTGGTGTTTGTTTGGATCTACTCTTGAACTCCATACCAAGAAGATTTGGCTGAAGTACCTTAATATGTTGAATTTTCTGAAAGGAATGAGTATTTAAATGGGGAAGAGGTTGCAATTCTTGATTGTATTTTACTGTTTTCTTTCTGGCAAAATAGGATGGGGTCCATATGCATACTTCCTAGCGGCGGAGGAGAGTCCGCAAAGGCAAGACTCAGAGCTGCAATTTGGGAACCACCCGTCCAATCAGAACCATGGTGATTTGGAGCTTGGTGGTGGAATCAGATTGTGAATCAGCCCATTTCTTGTTCTCTTCTTTTTTCTTTAAATTAGTAGCACATATATGCAACAATTAAAATAGCAAAAATGAAATACTACGTACTAAACAATTAGTTGATGCAAAACACCACACATGGATTATGGTGAATTCCTACCGCACTTACCTTACCGAAAAATAACGGAATATTAGTATACTGTCATTTTTGGTACGGTATGATACCGTACCGATATATTTCGGTACGGTAATGCTAAATGTTTTCAAATACCACGGTATATCAGTATAATACCACACCGACCTCATCCAACGATTACTATAAATTTTAAAATATTGTAAAAGTTCATTACAGGTTTGAAGCCCAAAATTAATACCTATGTTGGTTACAAATACTAAAATACAAAAATAAAGGCCCAATTTTCCAAATCCACTATAACCTTCTAGGCTTCTACTATGTAACATTCAAACAAATAAACCCTAATGACTAATGAGTAATGTACTAATGTACAGACCAGTCCATCTTGTTCTATAAGCTTACGAGTCGCGATGGTTGAGCCGCTGAGTAGATGATGAATGAAGATGAATACACTTATGTGACGACTGTATCCACATAGAGATTCTGCAAGTCGAGGCACAAAATTTTGTCCGAAAGTCTTATTCAAATACACAATATCATATTATGGGTAAATAATTTTATATCCATGTTGTTTGAATAATTTTATTTATTTTTGTTATGCATCACTATTCATTTAATTATATCTATATTGTTCAAGTTATTTAAATATGCTGAACTGCTTAAATATACTAATAATAATTGTTCAATATTGAATATGTCACGCCCTGGACCTATCCGGATACGTCAACAATCCGCCGTACAATATGAATAGTCAACCGCAGTCTAACTCATCCATATTATACAAGGCGTCTCGAATATCATTCACACATAAGTCATCAATAAACATACTGTTAGTACCCAAGTCTGATAAGATTTTGATGATGCCACTATACTAAGCACGTGTACATTGTGTCTCATTTTATTATTAACGTGACAAATTAAATGTACAATTTTTGGGTCTATGAAACATTACCGGAAAAATAAAAATGGAATAAGGCAAAATTTCTTTGCCTTAATAGGATGCTAAAATCCTACCGGCAAATGCTATTTCGGACCCAAAAATATTATTCGTATGTCACGAAGCTCGAAAAATCAAATAGATGATTGACCGGCATTTAATGCCAAATACGAACAGGCCCCGGAGCACTGAAGACGCAAATAAAAGAAATACTTCAGCAATCAATTGAAGACAAAAACAAACGGAAGTTAATGCTACAACAGGTACATGGACCTACAGCATGGGCGCACAAGTCTGATATCTAAAAAGGCATCAATAGTGGCTAGGCGGGCAAAACAAGCAGAACCCATACGCTCCGAAGAAGAAAATAAACAACAAGTTGTTTATCTTCTGCGAACAAAATTCAACGCACAAGATTGATCTATCCTAACCAACGGATAAGATCAATTAACCGGAGAGCCTATAAATATAGGCAGAAACGAAAGTTTCTAACCAAACATTTAAGCATCCAAAGAGAGAATTTCTATCAAGAGCATTTACGAAAGATCTAGCAAAAGAGAAAGTGCTACTCTAAAACTTTACTCTCTGATTGGACTTATGCTTCACTAAACTTCCAGTTTATTTTCATTGCCATATTATTGAAGTTTAGTTCCTAATTGGAGGTTAGAACTTTCTTGAAACAAATCACATATTGTTGTAAACACTTAGGAGAACAGTTGTTCGGATCCTACAGTGTAAGTAGATAGAGTACCTTTTGATTCCCACTGGGTCATTAGAGAAAAGTCTAAGGACTGAGTAACTTTGAGTGGTGCTATACTCACTGTGAAAAACCTTCAATCTAGGCCTCAGTGTTGTAAAGGCTAGATTGACACTAAGTGTATTGGGCTTAATACTTTAGTGAAATCCATCTGAAAGAGGGTGGGACTGGACGTAGAAGAATTACACCACCTCTGAACCAGGATATACTGTGCGTTGATTTACATTCAGTAAACAAAGCACACACTTAGCACTTCTCACAAAAAGGATTGAAGTTTGCCAGCAGAATCTTAAGCAGTTGTCTTAACTGACCCAACTGCTTATCCTACTGCTTAATCACTTGCTTTCTTTGAGACCATTTTCACACCTGAGACGCACCTCACCATCTCTAAAAGGTCTGCTATATCATCTCCCAGTAATTCACTTTCTAAGTATAGAAGTGGCCTCAGCAGTTCCCTGAGACCACCCAACTGCTGAGCCCTCTGCTCACATAAAAGTCACTTCCGGTGACCATCTCAGTTTCATCAACCTGCCATAAATATCATTGTCAAAAAGTACGTTCAATTCCTAAAAATCAGATCAAAATCTGAGTAGTTGCCTCAGCAGCTCCCTGCTACCTAGCTAACTGCCAAGCCAACTGCTAGCCATCTAAGTCCAATCTTCTCCAGATCAGAAAGTGATTAAAACATTCCTTATATAAAGGGTAAAGACTTCCGCTGTGCATCTATTAATCTCTCAAAAGATTATAGATCAACTCCACTAGAGGGAAATATTGTAAGAATCAAAAAGATTTAAAAGTCTATTCACCCCCCCTCTAGACTTTTACCCTATCCGGGACCATCAAGTGGTATCAGAGCAAGTGTTCCTAGAGTCAGTTTCTGACTAGTTTGAACAAAAGATCCAAAGTCACTTCCCTCTCCCAAACACTTTCTAAACGATGGACAGTCAACTAGCCAAAAACCTCCTATTCAACCTAAACAAGTTTGATGATTGGAGAATCAGGATGAAGGCACATCTCAGTGCCTTACATGATGAAATGCTGGAAGTAATCACTACCGGACCTATCAGGATAATGAAGGTCAGCACATCCAAAACTGATGACCAGGAGGATGTGTACATTCTCAAGACCAAACTGGAATGGACAACCGAGGACAGGAAGAGGAACAACCTTGATAACATTGCCAAGAACATTCTTTTTAAATCTGTTGATGAATCCATATTTCCCAGAATCAGGAAATGTGAAACAGCAAAAAACGTTTGGGACGAGCTCACAAAAATTGGAGCTGGTGATGAACAGGAGAAGGACAACAAACTTACCATGGCCCTCAAATAATTTGAGGACTTCAAGATGTTGCAAAATGAGTCCATCCAAGAGATGGAAACTAGGTTCCTGAAGATCACAGCAGAGGTCTCAGACCTAGGGAAAGATCTACCTCAAAAAGAGATTTCCCTTAAAGTCTTGAGAGGCTTGCCCTCTAAATGGGACATGAAGGTGACTGCTATGAGAGATAGCAGAGATCTAAGAATCCTATCAACTGATAAGCTCTTCAGTGATCTCAAAGCCTATGAATTTGAGATGAAGGAAATTAAAGAAGAAAAGGAAGATGAATCCAAGACACTAGCTCTAGTGTCTGAGCCTGGCCCTTCAAGATCCAGTGAGAAATCCCTCAACAACCTCCTTACCGACGATCAGTTTGCCATGTTTGTAAGGAAGTTTAAAAAGTTCATGAAAAGGGAGGGAACTGCTCCAAAAAGACCATACAATCTGCCACCCAGGAAACAAGGGAGACCTCAAACCAGCGAGGAAACTGGTCTGTGCTACAACTGTAGACAACCAGGACATTACAAGAATGAGTGTCCTCTGCCCTTAGCCCAGAAATTTCAAGGGCAGCAGGGGACTGGTTACAAAGCTGGTTACAAGAAGGACTTCAAAGGCAAACGACAAGCCTTTGTTAGTGAAAAGAAAAAGGAGGAAACCCAATCTGAAGATGAAAGCAGCTCAAGCGATGAAAGCTCTTCATCTGAGAGCTCAGAGGAAGCACTTCTATGCCTAGGATCCTGGCAGGTGGGTAAAAATGACAGCAGTTGTCTCACTGCAGAGAGCAGCAGGTGGCTCAGTGAATCTTCCGCCAGTTTAAGTAATGCAAGCAGCTCCCATAAATGCTTAATGGCCAAGGACCACTACAACGATGTCGAGGTAACATCCTGCTCCTCCTATAGCTCTAATGATTCTGGACCAACCAACATAACACTGGAATCTTTATTACAAGATTTCCAGAAAGTCCAGAATCACCATGTTCTCTTAAATGCTGAAAATGATAGACTGAAACAAGACATTAAGGCAATTCATTCTAAATTACTAGATCCCTTAAGGAAAAATGATGTCTTAGAAAAGGAGAACAAAGAGCTGAGAAACTCCAGCACAAATAGTAAAAACTTTCACCCTACTGCTGGAGTTACTCCAAATAGGAAGAAAAGAGGTTTTAGTTACTCATCCCCCACCAGACTCACTCAGAACAGTGCATCTACAAGTAATACCTCATACACAAGAAAGCTCACTTACCAAAAACCTCATCCCCAAAATGTTCCCAAAAGAAGGAACCAACCTGCTCCCAAACCAAAATCCAAACACATGTATAAATCAACATCTCCTCACCATCTAAACCCAAGAACCTGTTGGCAACCAATCAATAAGACCAACCACAACAAAAATTCCAAGCAGACTCCTCAAATAAATAATCCATTTCCCACCTCAAGGAGGAAAAGAATTAACAAGTATATAGCCATCCCTTTTGATTACAACACCTCAAATGGCTACAGACCAATCTACTTAGAACTCAATGGTTCTAGATGGGCATGGATGCCTAAACTTGTACAAGGGAAGTTGCCCACTAACATGTGGGCTACTGCTCAACATTAAGTTATACAGGAAGGTGCCGGAGCAGCTGAAACACAATCATGGTACATAGATTCAGGCTGCTCCAGGCACATGACGGGGAACAGGCGGCTCCTGTCAAACTATACAGCAAGGGAAGGACCCAAGGTGACATTTGGGAATGTGGAAAAACAAGGAGAAACCAAAGGAGCAGGAGATCTATCAATTAATGGACTTACAATCCAAAACATATCATATGTTAAGGGTTTAAAGTTCAATCTCATAAGCACAAGCCAGCTCTGTGACAATGGCTACAACGTTACATTCTCCAAAGACATCTGCTTGATCAGAGATGTTAAAAATGACAAACTTGTGCTCACTGGTAGAAGGAAGAAGGACATGTATATTGTTGATTGGGATTCAACAAAGGAAGGAATCTGCCTAATAACAAAGGCAGATTCAAAATTAAGTT